TGGGGCACGGGGCATATATCTCATTGTGTATGGTTTCAAAACAAAGAAACGAACTTTCTTTCCGAAACTCATAATTTTTGTGATGAGAGAAAAAAATACCTTATTCAATGATGCTCATACATACTCAAATATATAAACAAGAAACAAACATGAGATTGTGATATTAGCCTTGAAGATAGAAATTCACCATTTCGCTTTTTCTTTAACGAAGCACAACGAAAGCTATAGTGTACCTACACTTTTGTGAACAGGTGTGTAAGTCCTATTGTTCAGAGAAATGGCACACGACTTATTAAATAGTGTACCTACACTTTTGTGAACAGTGTAAGTCCTATTGTTCAGAGAAGTGGCACACGACTTATTAAATAGTGTACCTACACTTTGGTGAAAAGGTGTGTAAGTCCTATAGTTCAGAGAAGTGGCAAATAAGTTATAAAATTTAAGTCGCAACAACATATAAGGTTAATTTATCTCATTTTCTACATCACAACATTAATTTGATATACCCAACATATAACCTGTAACGTAAAAACTCTCCAATCCTCTCCCACTTCCGGTGACGGTCGTTAACCAACAAACGGGCGCGTATTTACATCAACAACGTCAGCTTCGCCTGGCGCCACAGGAAACGACCTTAAAAAAAATCAGTGAATCGTTTTATCGAGTTTAGCCGAAGCAATTATTATTGTTACTGAACTGATGATATGTGATGACTGAAAACAAAAGAAACTTATCGACATTTAACGAGTTTATTTGATTCATAATCGCACATAGCTACATTTTGTAACTGTAACACTGAATACACAAAGGTTTCTAGCAGTATAAGTCCGCAGACAATACCACTGTGACGCCACAATTTACAGACAAGTGGATTTAATTTGTTATTAATTTGAAAACTGTAGTTTTTTGTGTGTTAATTGTTTGTTCTTTACCAAATCTCAAAAACATTTTTATTCACTAGTATCTTTTTTTTTTAACTGTCGGTAATAGACTTATGGTGAAACCATTCTGTGTTTTACAATATCTGTTTTTAAAACAAGTATGTAATAAAGGATAGCATACACATTACATTGAGAGTTTACTAGTGACGGACAAAAAAACAAACAAACAAACTCAGTGACGGACAAAAAAAAAAACTCAGTGACTGACCAGGGTCTCAATATTACTTAAAATTCTACTTTTAAAGCTAATAGTTTGGAACTATTTTATTATTTTCTGATGTTATAACGTCTTGCTCGCGACATACAGCGGGTTTAAAATGTATTTTTTTTTAAGGAATGGTTTGATTTTATGACGTATGCAGTTTACTCTGGTGAAAATGTGTGCGGGTGCTTTCAGTCGGAAGAATATTTGAGTGAATAATAAATACATAATTGTTGTTTTTTTTTCTGCTAGGGTTATACAACTTAATTTTCATTGTAGATCTGGTGAAAAGTAATTATTATTCATATTCAATACGTCAATAATCTGAATAAAATCCTGTTTTACGTGGTTGGAAACTTAAAAACCCCCGGCCTCTATCCAGATTTGTATCGACATCGTCATGAGATGTGTTGAATAACTGATGTAAGTTTGCTTACACCCCCCTTTATGAGGGTGGGTTAATAAAGAGAAGAAAAACATACGGGGTTGTGGATATAATGTATTGTGGTTCGCGTCCCGTTATCGTCTCAGAAACTAAAATTTTGCTCCGAATTTTGGGCCAATGGATGCGTTGTAAGAGTGACTGTCAAATTGTACTATTCACATAGAATGGAGTAGCTCCAAGAGTTGGCGGTGGGTAGTGTTGAGTAGCTGCCTTCCCTGTTGCCCGGCATGGCCAGGTGGTTAGGGAGCTCGACTCGCAATCTGCGGGTTCGAAGTGCATAAGTACAAACAAACCTACCAGTAGTGTTAGTTTTGCCTTGATGCTGATGATAATAGTGATAAAATCTTATAGCCCTCCCACTATTCCCCGTTGATAAGTCTACAGGCTTACGACGCTGGGTAGAACACAGATGTAGAGCTTTGTACTTATGTGTAACCAAACCGTAACTGTCAACCACGTTATCTTACAACTTATTGAATAAAACAAATGTTTATTCCTGTGACCAATCAACAACAAATACATGTCACTGTAAAAGTAAGATGTTTCTTTGGTACTCGAGGGCTATCTGCGCAAGCCGTCCCTAATTTAGCAGTGTAAGACTAGAGGGAAGGCAGCTAGTCATTACCACCCACCGCCAACTCTTGGGCTACTCTTTTTTACCAACGAATAGTGGGATTGACCGTCACATTATAACGCCCCCATGGCTGAAAAGGCGAGCATGTTTGGTGTGACGGGGAAACGCTACACAATGGGCTATCTGTGCTCTGCCCACCACGTTGTAAGTCCGCAGACATACCGCTGTGCCAATGGGGGGCCTACGGGTAGGCCTAGAAAGAAATACTCTATAAAAAAACAATAAAGATTTTATACGTAAAAGTTTTCAAAATGAGAAATGAAATTTTTAGAAAGAAAAAGAACGTTACAAAATAACGTCAATTTGTACACTGATGTTACAACAATTTAAAATGAAATTTTAATTATTATGTCTCTAATAATGCTACAAAAATTGGATAGCTCACGTCATGAGGCCATAAAGGAGATTAAAAATAACTACTAATTTATGGTGAAATAAAAATACTACGTTATGGTGTTTCAAATAGGTCAGCACGTATTTGACGAAATGTATTTATCTAATATATAAAGCTAAGTTTGTGTCTGTTTGTTCAGTCATCTGTTCCTTATACGTTTCTACATTTATTGACCAATCAGCGCCAAACTTGACACAGTAATACAGGATGACACGAGGAAGATCATGTGGGGGACTGGACCCCCATCTAATTTCGAAAAAAAGCTACCAAATCAGTACAACTTGGGCCTTTGCCCCCCCCCCCCCCACATTAATTACATATCTGATTTCGGGGGAAAAAAACTACCAAATCATTACAATTTGACACAGTGATACGGGGTGACATGAGGGGGTTGGCCCCCCATCTAATTTTATATTGATATAACTATTAAAAAATTATGTCTTTTATTTCAGTATTCGTACCGTTATTTATTTTTATAGCACTCTTAATGTTTATTATTTTAAGAAAATAAAATAGGAACACAATTTCCCATCCTTTGTTACAAACGTGTTGTTATTTCAACCGTTCAACAGACGGGTAATCCAGCTAGTATGTACATATATTTACGAAGATTATCTTTTATTCGCGTGATGCGAAACCTACCTCTATCGAGTAGGAACAACAATGACGTTTTAATAAGTTTGATAATGACCTTTAAGTTTATGTACAGTTACGGTTTCTCGGTCGGTTTATTGTCCTTCACCCGTGTATTGGCGGTCAACGTCACGTAATGTCGATGTCCTTCAGAAACTGTCGAGCGTCGAACAAACTGTATACAGACACGTTTCCTGTTAAGAGCGTTTTCGGAAGTAGGCCTCACGACACCCACTAACTCCCTCTGTGTGTGAACCGAGGAGTAGGAACTGAACACTGCCGAAAACCAATAAGGATCGCCTGCGTATTAAAATAAGTTAAATGTTGAGACAGTCACCAGGTGTCGCATAACTTTATACGGTATTTATTCTGTGGCTGATATAAATGTTCCTGCCAAAGCTGGCAATTAAAGTGTTTTAACGTAG